GGATGATGCTGAGGGAGGCTGGGGAGGCTGTGTGGGGATGATGCTGATGCTGATGCTGAGGGAGGCTTGGGAAGCTATCTGGGGGTGATGCTGATGCTGATGCTGAGGGAGGCTGGGGAGGTTGTGTGGGGTGATGCTGAGAGAGCTTGGGGAAAACAAATCATGGGAACCTCTCCAACTTTGCATCACCTCACTACATAGGCCTTTCCTGGTCCACATTTCCTCTTTGGTATGAATCCTAATTCCTACCGTACTTACCTTTAGACACATTCCATGTAGGTAATAAAGTACAATTTCATATTCTGCTTTTCTAGAGCAGATAACGACACTGAAAATCTCTGCATCCCGATAAACCTCTCCGCCGACGCAATAATCCAAATCAGGCCAAATCAAACCAAATTAGAGATTTCCCAGGTTTAGTAGATACCTACACTCCCGGGTGGCTTTCCAGCCCCTCTAGAGAGGAGACTGGGAAGGAAGACTGGAAAACCATGTGTTTGTTCTCTGGGGGGCAGTTTAAATACCCTGTAGGAGTGGTCTTGAGTATCTTTGGGGAGCGTTCATCGTTTGTTGGGCTTTCTCAGAGGTGGAGACGGAACTGGGGCAACTCCCAGGGAAGGGGGCTTGGGATGGAGCCTCCACCAGAACATTCTTTGAATATATTCAGATTCTTTGAATATATAGATGCCAGGGGCTGGGGTGAAACCTTAACCCAAACATTCAGACTCTTTTAATATATGGATGCTTCCACCCAAACAGGCATCTTGTTTGACCTTCATCCCTTAGAGTTAGTTACCTCTGTAATCATCCATCAGGCCCCTAAATAACAAGCTCCAAAGGCAAAATCCTCAAAATCTTTTCCAACAGAGTGAGTATAACAGATCTTTTTTGGCCCTCCACTTTTTCTCTTCACACCTGTCTTCCTGTTTGGGGGGCTCCCTTTCACACAAACTGACTCTAGATTGATCACCCAGCACCTTCTCTGGTCCTCAGTCAACCGCTCCCAGTCCAGGTACCTGCCTGCTCCAATTTAGCACTCTAGCATTCAACATTTGCTCGTCACAACCAGGAGTTAGGAAAACAATCTGATTACTGGTGTAATCCTGCAACCATCTGTTTGATTTATCACTCCCAGAAGGAATTTACATTTTAAACGAAGAGTGTCTTTAGGCAAATGAGTCTTTACTTTTGTGGCTTGCTACAATGATTTTTCATTCTACTTATTCAGAGATTTAAATGTGCAAATGTGTAGGCCTAAAGGTTTTGCATTTTGATGACCTTCATGGAGTACTCCTAGCTTAGGAAACTTTCCAGGTGACTGATGCTCAGGAAGATTTGCAAATTCTTGACTGATATGATGACTGGTTACAAGTGGGATGTGAGAAAGAGGGTTTTTTGCTTTTGTTGTTGCTTTTGTTTCGCTGTTTAGTTTTGGGCATCTAATGCTATGGAATAAAAGACCATATAGCTTATTGAATCAAACAAAACCAAAAAGTAATGTTTCTCACCATTCTGCAGGTTGACTGGTATCAACAACAAACTCGTCTGCTCCAAGGAGTATGAACTGAGTTTTTTCTACCTTGTGACTGGGTTGTCCTTGAAAATCAGAGAAAGCTTGGATCACATATATGTCCATCATCTTTTCTTCTCTTTATGTCTGTCCTGGAGCTTGCTTGTGATTCTTTACACCAGGCTCCTGTCAGTTCAACCAGATTTTTTTTTTTATGAGCCTGTTGACTTCAAGAGTGAAAGACCCTATCAAACGTCTTTAAAGCTAGGCCTGGAGCTAACTAGCATAGCCTCCACTCTCTTTTATGGTTGAAATGAAGTAAAGGAGTTGCTTCAGATTCAAGAAGACAGAAAGTACACTTTGGTGAGTGGAGTACCATGTGTACATATAGGAAAGGGAGGAACGGATGGTGTCGCCTTTAGAAGCGTTTATATTTCCCTAGTATCTTTCCGTTTGCTGAAGAGCAGCAATCTGTAGCGTGCCTGACCTCTGAAGACTGGCACAGAACAAAAGTGACCACAGTGTCCATTTGGACCATGTGAGCATTCTGAGTCCATTAATTCTTGTTATAAGAAATTTGAGGACTTCGGGGATTCTTTTTTTTTTCTTTGTTTGTTTTGAATATTATTCAGAAGTGACTCAGTTTACCAATCCTAACGGGAAGAAACACTGTATATGTATTACACTTCTATGAAACCTAAGGAAATCTTGAGGGAATAATATGGTCAATTGGAAGGAACATGGGCCAGATAATGGCTTATGCTCCCATTACTGCCTGAAGGTGAGACCTATATAGATAAGTTCTCTAAGATTTGTCTTCAGAAAAGTGCACTTGCTATCAGCTTCTTATTGGGTTTTTTCTTTTCTTTTTTTTCTGCTTGGGGAAGATGGTGTATGCATATAACGTTGGCTCCTTTAATATGTGTATTATATAAACTTGCTTGCTACTAAACAACATTCCTTTTTCAAAAATGAGCTACATTCACGAGGCATTGAAGCTCATAAGAACAAAAAAAAATATTGTGTCAGGCATTTCTGAGGGAAAGAGGGGACAAAGAGCCAACAGCTGAGTATTATATTAATAAGCATGTGTTATAATTGAAAATATGAAAGTGAGTATATTAAATGAGCCACCCCAAAGAATTTCTCTGATATTGGCAAGCGTGTGTGTGTGGTTTAGTTTATTTTCCAGAACGCTGATGCCATGTCCTTAGAGGGGTCGTAGCTGCTGGCAAATTTGAAGAGGGAACTTGAGGAAGCCTCAGTGCTTTAAGCTAGAGGATGGCAGAGGTTGAATCTGAAGTCACCATCAGAGAGAAAGAAAGAACAGATCACAAAAGATGGGCAGAGTGCCCGGAACTTCATACCTGTGTCATCTCCTTTGTGTGAAAGGGGAAATCCAAGACTCCATACCTACCTGTGATACATCAGTGCATCTTTGGCTTATTGGAGCAAAGCTAAGAGAACAATGCCGGCATTATTTCACAATACGCCCTTTGATCCAGTTTGGAACTAGTTGCCTACAGTTGTATTTGCTTTCTTCCACTTTGTACTGCCCTAATGGAATGCCTGAGACTAGGTACTCATAAGTGACAGACGTTCATTTCTTACACTCCTGGAGGCTGGGAAGTCCAAAGTCAAGAAGTCTACATCTAGTGAGGGTCTGTGTGCTGCTCCATCCCATGGCGGAAGGTAGAACCCATGAGAAGGTCCACACATATGAGAGAAAGAAAGGTTCCAAACTTGGTCTTTAGTTAGGGAACCCCTCCCTGAATGACTGACTCATTCTGCAATAAAGGCATTAATCCACTCACAAGGCAGAGTCCCATGAACTAATGTGCTCTTAAAGTTCTTCCATCTTAACACAGAGGGACTGAGTCTCTCACATTCAAATTTCTCAAACTCAAGCAGTGCTGTTTTTCTCTTACGTCTCTAGATATAATCTTATACCTCTAGAGTTTCTTTCAAATGTACGGGCCAGTGGTCAACGATACAGAAGAATACAAGGAATCTGATCTGGAAGTGCTGGAAATAGCAATCAGGACATTTTTTCCACTCCCGACCTTGCACACTTGGGACTGGGGCATAGATAGCTTAGAGGGAAGGAAGGAAGAGCCCTAGAATGGGTTATTGTCTACTGTGTTGAAGCTGCTATGCCGGGTCTTTACAATGTATCTCCATACATTTCCATACCTCTACAGTGTAGGCAAAAAAAACCTGCTATTTTATGGAAGTGTACAGCAAACTTAGGGAATAGATCAAGTAAGAAAGGAAGAATTTGAAATCCAAAGCATCTAGTCAGACCCCATTATATAACAGGAAAATAAACAACTCATCTTATCAGTGTAAGGAAAAGCTAAACAGCTGCCTAAACCAGAATGTGACAGAATAATCTGAACAAATAAAAAGACTATTAAAAGATGAAGTTAATGTGAGTGATTAAATAAACTTGTCTGGGACTGAGGAGATGGCTCTGTATTTAAGATACTTGTCATACAGGTTTGAGGACCCGAATTTCAGTCCCCTGAATCCATGTAGAGCTGAAAATGGTAACATGCATGTAGAATACCAATGTTCCTAAAATGAAATAAGAGACAGGGACAGCATCATCTCCAGAGAGTTGCAGGCTGCTAGTCTGGCACACCTAGTGGTGAACTATATGGTGTAAACTGTCAAACAGAGTAGAAGAGAAGAACTATTACCCAAGGTTATCCTCTGATCTCTAAAATATTCTGCAGCATGCTCCCCCCCACACTCACACCCATGAACATGCATATGCTGCACATGCTAACGCTGCGCGCACACATTAGCACACTTGTACACAATAAATACGTAAATGGATACATTTTCTTAAGGTGTGAAGAGCATCTTCATAGATGACATTAGTGTCTTTTGTCCATCAAACAGTTGTGCTATCCTTGTGTCTGGTCACAAAACAAAAACAACCACTTGAAAAATTCTTCTCGGTAGAGAACTTTAATGTTATTATTTCCTGTAAACCTGGAAACCAAAAACTAGATGTCCAGTAAATAAAGCAAGCAGGTTTTTGAAAAATTTAACCATTTTTGGGAAAATGTGGACATTCTTCGATATAAGCTTGAGAGTAGTAATAAATTAAAAGTAGAAAATAAATCTAGGAATAAGTGGGACTATTGATTTTTATTAAATCTATTGGTTGGATTCAAATGTATAACAATGAACTTATAATGTAAATTTTTTCTGTATTTTGCCTATGCATAAACATTATGTTTGGGGATTTTTTTCTTTTTTTATTTATTTATTTATTTTTTTTGCAGGAGCTCCTGTTTGGGGATTTTTTGAGGTTATGATGTAATTATAGCTTTTCTCCTCTCTCTCTCCTTCCTCCAAATCTTCCCATATACTCCCTCCCGCTCTCCTTGGAATTCATGGCTTTTTTTCCACTAATTGTTGTTGCATGCAGATATGTATGCATATATATATATATATATATATATATATATTCACACCCATACTTATCTACATCTATATTCCTAGATATACCCTGTACAGTCTGTATAATGTTACTTGTATGTATGTTTTCAAAGCTGATAAGTTGGCTAATAAGCACTGGTGTGTTCTTCCATGGGAAAGAATATCTCTCCCAGTTCCATCATTTCTCATTTGCCTATAGTTCCTTGTATAGGGTGGAGACATGGAGTTTTCTCCATCCATGTTGGAAGTTCATTGGTGTCATCCTTGCTCATCTCGCTTTTTGGCAGACATGTTGGTAACACTTTATGGGTGTACCTTCTGACGTTATTAGAGAAAAACAGTCTCATAGCAAATAAACCAGTGATTCTACTTAAGACCTGGAGAATAACTTCACAAAGCAAAACAGCAGGAAACACAAGAGGACAGATACAAGCAAAAGGTGAGAGTCCTGATATAGAAAACAACAGCAGAAATAACAGGAAGGACCAAAACTGATCTTCAAAAAAGACCAGAGGGTAACATTTACCATAGCAGTCTTGCTGAGAGCAGACATGGAAAATGAATGATGTTCTGGGGGAGTGGAGTGGAACATCTTTTATGAACACACTGCCCATCCACATCTTGGGGTTCTGTCTAACATCTACTACGTCAACATGGTGAAGCTGTTCTCCATAGTAACCACCAAATCCAGGGTGTTGGTAGACTGAAAGATGTTAAGATAAAAGGGTGGGATGGTAGGGTTTGTGGAGGGAATGAGAGGGGAGTGGGAGGAGGGGAGGGAGTGAGAATTTCGATTGGTATTTTTTTAAGTAATAATAATAAAAAAAGATAGTACATACAATCTCCCATATTCTGAGGAATTGTTAGTTGCTCAGATGACCTGTAGTCTTTTCTTTTCCTTCCACACAGCAGTTAATGTGTGTTGGTTAACTATGACTGAAATACATTCATTTCTCCTCTTTCTAGAACATTCCTGTAAATTCTTCTTCAATCTCAACTGCCAGGGCAAAATGAAAACAAGGAAGCAACAGTCTCGAGAAAAACAAACAAAAAACGAAAACCAAAAGAGGCAGTTTCTTGCCTTAGAAACTAGAACTAGGCTCATCAGGGTTCAGTGACTTCTGTGGGTCTCAGACATAGGTGGACACAGATTATCTATTAAATGGCTTTTGTTATTATCCTGATTTTGCCGAAGATGTGGTAAGTCACAGAAACACTTAACCGCATTGCCAGAGTCGCACAGTCAGTAAACGACAAAATAAGCTAAGTCCAGCTTGCCTGATGGAGCTACCCAGGCAATTGGAGCCTGCATCATCATTTCCTAACACTGGGGAAGGAGCCTGCCTCCCGTGTGTGCCCCTTCTCTCTGCTGCCCCCATCACCACATTGCACCTTCCTATTTCCTGACTGGCCCAGGACCTGTGGTACTGCTTTATGGACATTTAAGGCTAGCAGGGGCCATGGATGAGTGACAAGATGTCACACACCTACCCCTCCTCAGCTGCGCTACTTTTTCCTTCAGCTGAAGTCCTCGCTGTTATATAAAAGGAATGTTACACAAATGCCTCCATCATGAGGTTCCTTTTAAAGGCTAAATGAAAGAATGAGGTGTTTTGTTTTCCTTTGTTCCCCTGTAGCACCTATGTTAAGAATTTGTGCTTAACCCATGACTCACTCATTCTTGGAGCGAAGTACAAGGAAGTTACCGGATATAATACTTCTGTGAGATGTGGGCTTGAGCGTGTGTGGGAAAGATAGAACTGGAACCGTTAAGGCGAAGTTTCATTCAAAGCCCAACAATCCACCCCACCCTGCCCCTTCCTCTACAGTTCCCAACATGACTGTTGTTCCAGGAGCCCCAGATTTTGTCTTGCATGACTGTCAAATATTCAGACAAGTGGTATCTAGTTCCTTTGTATGTGGCTGCTTGTTGACTTGTTAAGGTTTATAATTATTAACTGAATCATTGCCTTGTTGTTCGCTAGGCAGTTGGATTGGGGAATAGTTATTTACAGAACAAAGGCAGAAGGGAGGGAGTTTAAATACAGTGCAGGGTAAATAAGCCTGAAAAGCACCTAGGTTTTGCAGCCTGCAGTGCAATGAGCTTTCAACTAAACGCGCTGCATTTTAATTCTCTCCATCTAGAAACACAGACCATTCTGATGGAAAATACCCTGCTGCAATACAGAGATTCCAGTTCTCGGTATACTGAGAAACAGTCTGAGAACTTGCTTTCTAGACAGTGACCCATTTGGGCAACCCTCACTTCCCCACTTCTTCCAGCCCCAGCAGTGTGGTTGCCTAGAATGTTCTCAGTGTAATTCACTGGCACAAGGGAGTTGCATGAATGTGAGTCAGCTTACTGGCTACTGGGATGGATCCACAAGCTGGATGCTTAGATGCTCAGGATGTTTGCTTTGGAAGGAACTCATTCAAAGAATTTCTTTTCTTTGCAGGAGACAATGAGGAGTGGGAAGTCACTCTGGGTGTGATTGTTTATCTCTTTTCTTTCATATGCATTGCTTAATTCCTGTGAAAATGTAAGACCTGGAGCAATGAAATCTTTAGAGTATCAGTTAGAAGGACCCCATACTGGAGGACAAATTCAAGTTGCCTCTGATCATCCACTCACGAGGTCTCAATGTCGGTCAAAAAAATGGCTTTCCTTTACAGAAGCTTCTCAATTTCAGGAGGTCCCATTTATTCATTGATTCTCTTATTGTCTGTGCTACTGGGGTTCTACCTAGGAAGTGGTTCCCTGTGCCTATGTCTTGTAGACTACTTCCCACTTTCTCTTCTATCTGGTTCAAAGTGGTCAGATTAATGTTGAGGTCTTTAATCCATTTGGACTTGATTTTTGTGCATGGTGATAGATATGGATCTACTTTCATTCTTCTACAGGTTGACATCCAGTTATGCCAGCACCATTTGTTAAAGATGCTTTCCTTCTTCCATTGTATACCTTTAGCTCCCTTGTCGAAAATTAGGTGTAAGTACCCAAGTAGCACAAAGTAGTTAAGACACAATTCTTTGACCTAGCAAGATGGTTCGTGTGTCTTGCTCAGTGGCTCAGGACTCTCAGGGCACGAAGCCAGTACTGACGTAATCCTCCTTCCTTTCATTCCTGGCCACAGAATGGTTAACAATCTCCCAAGTCAGTTGAACTCAAACTCAAGAAGCGAAGAGAGGCCCTAGCAGAGAGCATGTTTTTCTTATTCTTATCCATTTAAACAGGTAAAAAAACATTACCTTAGAGACTCTTGAAAATGGCCCTTCAACATCTTCTTGGGTGGAACTAGTTAGGTGGCTTTTTCTCATTGCAGAGGAAGCTTCAGGAGTAAGACTCCAGCATCTGCAACCTGTCTGGGTCACACTGAAAAGGGAAGAAAGAAAGGGTTATAACTTGCTGACTATTATATCATCAAACCTGCCACCAGAAACCCAGGGTTGTCTCCAGTAAAGGCTCTTGGGAACTCCTTAAGGAATTTCCCACCCTCCTCATAACACCCCTCACCACTGTTCAACAGAGTTTTTATGACAAGTCAAACATAAAGAACAAGAGTTATGAAAAAACAAAACCTTGTTTAGTTGTTAAACACCCATCTTCCACTGGATTTTAAGATGTAGAAGAACAGGGATAATGTCTGCCTTGTTCATTATGGCCCGCAGGCACCCAGGACAAGGTTGAGGTGAAGTACACAATTCATATTTATTGAATGTGAGAATAAATGAACTAACAGCATTTTTGAGTTTAACTGAGGATTTTAAGGATGGGAAGTGCTGCCACGGAGAGGAGAGTGAGTCAGTCTCCTTTTATGAGAGTCTGGAAGCACATACACATTGAGTGTATACAATGTACTAAACTTGATTATCTTTTACAGTGGTATTCGAGGTGCAATTGAAATTTTCCTCTGATTTGCATTGTACTGAGTCTTTATATACAACTTCCCATTTATGTTTCTAGTGCTGCCCTTTTACAGTTTGTATTTCAAACATTAGAGGGAAACACCACAGTACTTTAAGGTTACCCCTTTCAATAAAAGTCTGAGAAGATGATGAACATCGTACTCTCTTATTTCTAAGTGAGTACCTGTGTTTTAGAAAACCTTCTTTCTCACTCTATCTCTCCCCCATCCCTTCCTCCTCCATCTCTTCCTTTCAGTTCATTGTTTATAATCATAAAATGAATGCATAATACATCTTTGTTGCCCTTCCAAGATTGATAAAAGTATTCTTTATTTTAATATGTAGAACTTCAAAATGGGTGGCAAATCGCAAGCTCTGGATAGAATTTGGTTAAAGTGAGAAAAATCTAGATTAACAAGCAATTATCTGTCCTTTCCTTTTTTAGGAGGGAGAGAGAAGAAAGGGAGAAGACAGGTGTTCCCAGGGACATTTGTGTGGTTTTGTTGAAGCTAACTTTGACTATGTCACTAGGTGGGCTGCACGGCCCATGTGGTGGGTTTTAGGAAGCCTAGGATAGATATTGCTTTCCAAAGATCAGTGTCAGCTTATCTCCCATCTCACAGACATTTTACACTGCTTCCCTTCTACATCCAAAACCTCTAATCCATGTTCTTTGGTCTCGAGTCTCAGCCGATAGAACTGTAAAATGTGACCACAGAAGTTACATATTTTTATTTTCAAGACTAGAACATAAAATATGTTATATGCTTCCTCCTTTGTTATCCAGGAGTGCTTGCTTATAGAATCTAGCCCTGTATTGTAACAGTTTGAGACACAACTGACAGGCTCACCGGCACTTTCAGCAACCACTAGTATTAACCTGACCATTGTCTGAATAACTGTCTCGGATGTGGCTTTTCTAGTCCTGGTCCCCCGACTCCGGCTGATGCCGTATTGAGTAGACACTCTTTGTGAAGTCTACCTAAGTTGAAGTCTTATGAATGAACTAAGTAATTATTGCCTAAGTTACCAATTTTTGGACGGCTGTCATACAGCATAGGTAACTGAGATAAAACCCATTGCTTTGAGACGTCAATATCACACCTTGTAATCACCTATATATTTGTGTAAATTTGTAGATACTGGTGTTTTCAAATACGTTTTTCATCAGTCAGTTATTCTCAAACTCAATATGCAAAATATCGCCTGTACATTCACTGTCGGGTTAGTGACAGGAGGCACTTGGGAAGGTCATTAGAGAGCAAGTGTTGAAGTCATGGCATAATGACAATTCTTTTTTACTGACGAAGACTTCATAAGGGAAACAAGTATTTGTTTGCAAGTATCTGGTTAAAATTATCACAAATTTTCAAAAGGTTTTTAAATGTATGACTTATTCATCTGTCTGTCACTCACTACCCTTCCGTATATCCATCTACCTGTTCCTAGTTCTTCTCTCAACAGGAAACCCAGGAGTCAGTTTGACTAATAATACTTTCATGTAGAGGAAGGAGGAGAAAATACTTAATTTTAGAATTTTGGCTAACAGTGGACAATAGATTTACACCATATACTACCATATACTATTTGATTTTCAAGATTTCTCAAATGAGAAATCAGACTGAGAGAAGAGAATGAGGCCATGGACATAAAGTCCAATGACTCAACAATCCAGGAAATAAGTAAAAAAGGATTCTACTTAAGTCACGAATTCCACAATGGTTTACCATGTCTTACCAGTATGGAGTTCTAATGCTGTATGATAGACAAGAGTGATTCACGGTGCCAGAATCTGATCCCCTACCTTAACAGAGTTTACATGCAATAGGGGAAACATTCATAAAAATATTATATTCATAAAAATTCATAAAAATGAGTTTTAAAAGTATAGCAAGAGCTCTGAAGATAATAAACCTAGGTAAGAGGTGAAAGCTGTTTTTAGCTTCATAGAGTGAATTAAGGGACAATCAGCACACACACGTTTGAGGTAAAGTTCAGGAGACAAGTCGATTGAGGAAGGTAGTGAACGGTGCATGCGCAAGCTACACAGGTGCAGAGGCCTTGGGCAAATTCCAGTGCTGTATATGAGCAGCGCAAATTTATGAAAAGGACCAAAAGCAGAGGCAGGCCGCTCAGGTAGCTAATTGTTTGTCTCCCCATGCCTCCGCTGATCCATCATCCATCATCCCGTCTGCACACCTATCCATCTATCACTCGTGGAGCATGACTCCCACATACCAACGCCTGCCGTAAGCATAACAGCAAGAGAGATGAAAAGTTCAACCATCTCTCTACCGAGGGACTCCCTGTCAGTTCTCACAGACACTCCGGGATGAGTCGGCATGTGGCTAAACACGTGCGTTATTAGTAAGGAAGCCGAAGCCCCGCATTTAGCGGCCCTTCTCGACATCACCTGCACACGCAGGGGCAGAGCCTCAGCATTTTCTCATCGCCCCTTAATCAGGGAAGCATTATGTGTGACCCAGTTTTCCCACACTCGTTTCCTCCGTGGAGCAACAGTTCCAGTTTATCTATAGCAAATGCTCACAACTTTAGGCTTCTTTAATTAGAGTATTGGAAATTGGTGCTATTTCAAGTTTAGTTATCTCGGGAGATGTTCCTCCTAGAGAATGAACAGCAGATGAAATCATGCACACGAAAGCACTCCATGCTGCATGCACTGCTGTACAGATGTGAGCTAAGTACAGCCTGATATTAGGGGGTATTGCTTCATGTGTTAGCGTAACTTCAGAGTAACTTCTGGCCTGATGCTTTAAAGCTGTCTGATATTGTCTTTAGAGAGGGAATTAGCCATAGCTGGTGGTTAAGATCTACTCACTCTGAGATTGAGATGGGATATGTGAGGACCCGGGCACAGTATAGCAGTTTTGGTGTGGCTCCTCATTATGACAGTTCATGAACAGTTTGTCACCCTAAGGGAACTCTCTCGGTAACGTAAACATGTGCAGAGAGGGTTATTATTTTCTACCTTAGGAATGAGAAGCATATGGCTTAGGGAGAGAAGAACATTCTTTGGGGGAAAAATGCAAAATTATCTAAGAATGGGTTATCCAATGAGTTTAAAGCATTATTAGTTATTTTTGTGTGTTCATTTTTTTCTGACCGTCTAGGTTTAAAGTCACATGTTGACATAATGTGCTTAGTTTTGTTTTTCCTGCTGCGCAGGTGAGTCTAAATTGAGAGCCAGGAACAGTCATGTTAGCCTCGAGACTATCAACGAACAGTGATTCATACATTGGGGCCAGTAGAATCCTAACTATGAGCTCCTAACTCATAGACCATGGCACCATGGGCTAGTAACTTAATTGCCCCGTGACTAATTAATGTATTTATTTGCAAAAGCAAATAATCAGCAGTGTCTATTTAAAAGAGTTGTTGGGAAGATTAAGCAAATTTATCCATGTGACGTACTTAGAGCAACGTTTAATGAAGTCTCAGGGCACATAAACTAATGTGTGTCTCCTTGGCTCGGTCTCCCAGTGGGTTGTAGAAACTGGCGAACAAAGGCTCTGCCCGATTTCAATGCTGTTTCTCTTTGTGTTGGCATAGTGGGTGGACTGGGTGAACAATTTGATGGGACGTGGGACTGGACAAGGGAGGCGGATGATATCAAAAATATAAAGAATTGAGGTCAGATTTTGTTGACTCCCCATGGAAGGCCTTACCCACTGGGAGGAGTGGATGGGGGTGGACTGGGGGGGCAAGGTGACACTGGGAGGAAGAGTGGAAGAGAGAGCTGTGGTGTGAAATAAGAAAATTAAATATTAAAAAAATACTTAAAGATGATAAGTAGTATCTTCATTAGATATATTTAAAAACTCAAAATTAGGGCAAACATTTCATGTTGAACATATTGTGTTCAATAAAGGATCTACAAACTAAACTTTATTAAACATTTTATAAAGTTATCCTTTGCTCATGAAATATAATCAAACATAGCAATTCCTCTAATTGAAAATGAGGTATATATGACATTGATTTCTAATAAGTTGGTAAGATTCTTCATCAATAAAATCTGGAAATTAAGGGGATATTAAATTCAGATTGGGTATATATTAAATACTTAAAGTTAAAATAATGTTGATTTCTGTCACCTGCATTTAGACATCAACATTTCTTAGTGATTTTAGAATTTTTTTATGGGGGGGATTAGCTATTAAAAATGTATACTAAAACTTGTACATGTGACAGATATGTTTTTGTTGGCCTCTTATCCCAATGCAGCTTGGTCTGACTCTGACAACTGTAGATCTTGAAATAAGTTCTGGTGCAGAGTCTTTGGTTCATGTATGTGGAAGGGAATGTGAGAGCTGGAAGTCAAGAGCCATTTTGTTTCTGTCTCCTGAACTCCTTCTCTTTGTTATTTAATCCAATAGCTGCTTCCCAGATGGGCACCAAAAAATGTTAGGACGACATGTATCTAAATAAAAAAAAACTGGATAAATCCTCAGTTTGAATCATACCTCAATATATAACATGATCCTAAGTTTTCATGGCAGATTGCTGATACCGACTCCATGACATTGTAGCTCAGCACCTGTGAAAATTTCTACCTATGAACTTCAAGGCTTATATTTTATTATTATTATTTTGTTCATCATGACGTAGTATATGTACATATTATATACATACATATTTATATGTCGTTGAAACAAGGGTCATTGATACTTGCAGAGAATTATTACTTTGTATTTATCTTCTCTATATTTTTAAAAATACATTCAATAATTACATAGTAGTAGCATAATAAATGGAGTATTATACAGTGGAAAAAAATAATGACATCTTGAAATTTTCAGGCAAAAAGATAATCTAAAAAAACATCATATTGAGTGAGGTAACCCAGACTCAGAAAAACAAATATAATATGTACTCACTCATAAGTGGCTTTTAGACATAAAGCAAAGAAAAATCCACCTACAATTCACAATATCAGAGAACCTAGAGAACAAAGAGAGCCCTAAGAGAGATGTCCATGGATCTAACCTACGTGGGAAGTAGAAAAAGACAAGATCTCCCAAGTAAATTAAGAGCACGGTGATCATAGGAGAGGGTAGAAGGAAAGGGGAGAGGAAAGGAGGGAAGGAAGTGGAGAAAGGATATATAGCTCAATAAAAACAATAAAAACATAAAACTCAACTCTATTTAAGAAAAAAAAAAGAAGGCCATGACCCATACTTCACAAAACCCCGAATTTGATTATGGCTTAGGAAGGAAGATATTTTGTCTCTTTTCTACCTTTGTACCTCATGTGACTGGCAGTTCAAAGAAGGCTTATAGCAGTTTGTTTCACTTGGGCTTTGATGCAAAGCAGTTAACTTTGGAGGTAGACAATAGGTTTGAATCTCAGTTTTGCTACTAAATTAGTCAGATCATTAGGGCCAAGTGACTTTAAAACCAAGAGGCTCTCCTCCTTCATTTGTGATAGGAAGATGACAACAGGAACAGCCCAGACTAAACTCTGTTGAAAGCCTACAGCATATGGGACGTTATACAAGGATGTTGGTGATCAAACGGGGTCAATATAAAATACCTGCCAGGTACAAACAGTTCTAGCATTGCTTCACTTCTCTCTTGAGGATGCTCTAAGCTACTGCTCGCACTGTGAATCCCAAGCAAGTTGCTTCCGCTTCTGAGTATCTGGTATGCTGGGAGCTGGGGGGAATCCAAGCCTTTGAGGAGCTCAGCCAGAGCGCATCACCAGCTGCATTCTCAAACACTCTTCTTCGGCCTTCTTCTGGCCCACTTGCAGCCCTTTAGACTTTGATGATGGCACTTGCATCCAACTGGCGCTAATCCACATTCTAGCCTCTCCAGGGAGGACAGTGGCCTCATTGTTGAAGTCAGAGACCCACGGGACGTAGAGCTCATGTCCTCAGGCTACCTGTGGCATTTTGTTCTCAGGATATTTTCCTGTCCTTTTCAATAGTCTCACCGACAAGTGGGACCAGAGGGAAGAAAGTGCTGGGCAAAGGGCCATTATGAACGTAAACCGCAGAAGACAAATGAACTCTGTGACTCAATCACCCTTAGATAGGGTTTTCTGTACAGAAAGAAGCATATGAAATGTGGTTTTTGACTTTCACCTGTACTGCTTCTTCTCACTCGTGTTTATTCAAGAACATTACAGCCTTAGTGTGTAACAAGTCATTTTCTTTCTTCTCAGGAAAGAATGTAAAATAATATCAATTCCAATGAGAATCCTTGCTGGATATGCCCAGCATCCTGTAATTATGCATAATTGCCATTCACCAAACATATACCTTATTCCACTTGCTTCTCAGTTTGTTCCAAACCTTCAGAAGAACACTTTGAACGATGAGTTAACATGCCTGGTCTGCAAGTTAAAAAAAATAACATAATATTAAGAGGAGTTAAGTAATTTCACTCAAAGCATTCAGCTCATAATGGTGGCTTTTCAATCAGAGCTTAAGTTTGTCTCATTCTGAAGCCAAATTCTGTGCTTCCCACATCACCTGTTCAGGACCATGTTCTCATCAGTAATTATAGTTCACATTGCCTTTCCGGAAACTTTATATTATTTGGCTTTGCTGCAACGCTAAGCCTGTTGCTGGTATCTCTTATTCCTTGCAGCAGCTTGCCATCCCTACTGCCATCTCGTTTTCTGGAAGAGGACACTGAAGAATAGTTACTCTTTCCGAGGCTGGGTGTTGCAGTACATTGTAGTCCTGTTCCTGTAATCAAGGAATGCTGTGTCCTTCCCTAGTAACCTATGCTCTTTAAATGCCGTTGCTTCTGAAACAAGTATTGCTTACAAAAAAGAGGAAGCGTCTTCCCCACTGTGTAACTCGCGCATTGAAAGAGTCTACTTGCCTACGTAATAATGACTACATCTTGAATGGGATCTGGATCTGGGTAGCCTGGATACCACCTCAGTGTTTAATATACTCCTTTAGGGCATGTAGCAGAGGCATGCAAGCCACTCTTTCCTTGTTCTGTGCTTAGCCCCCATGTGTGCTGAGCACGTGTAGAACAAATTCCAGAAGCAGAGAGATCATACAGCTTGGGCTATATCGTGCTTTTTTGTTATTCTGACTTCTCTCTTGAATGTCTAGTTTATCTCTTTGACTTGTCTTGACCTTTAGTGTATACTTGGTCTCTCCTCTTGCCTTCTTGTTGCCCATCATAGATTCTCAGGCATTTTGTGTGTGTGTGTGTGTGTGTGTGTGTGTGTGTTTTGGACATCTTTTCAATGCAGCAATGACTTGTGTTCTGACTTAGCCTGATTAACTTAGTATCCTATATCCAATTCCCGATGGCCACATCCTATTAGTAAAAATTTCAGAGATAGATCTATCATTAGATAGATAGAGATAGGCAGTTTTCAAATCCACCGCCTTCTAATTTCTGTATGTAAAGTGCAAAGCATATGAAAAACATTCGTGCACATTCTTTTCTTGGCAGAACTGTGATCTACATTTAGGAACTCTTGGTTCCCCCATCAAAATTATCCCTGAGACCAGGTACAGTTTGCCTCTTTATCATGGCTGCCACAGGGGAATAGTGTGTGAATAGATATGTACACACAAGAGAACCAAAAAAAGACGTGGGAAAGGAATAGTCTTTAGCACATGATCTTGTGTGTCAGGCATTTGCTGGCATACCATCCTGCTTACTTGTGACTGGTCAAAACATCACAATCGTAATTACTTCCCCGTTTAGAGAAGATGAAGCCCAAGCTGAGATGTGTGTAGTAAACTCAACTCAAAATGGTGGAGCCCATCAGTAAACAATTTCCAAATCAATGATATTACCACACAATCTTCACCTCTGGCTATTCCAGATGTGTGTACACATGTGTTCTGTCACATAATACCTCTTCCCAAAGGTTTTCAATGACAGTCTTTGTTTGTTTGTTTTAGCTGGAAGTTTGTCGAAGGTCATACCGTTGTTTCCCAAAATTATGTTGTGCAAATTTATCAAATGACCACATTTCCCATATTGGCTGTGATTCAAATTGCAGATTTTATTCTTTTTCAATATATATATATATATAATATATATATATATATACGTGTGTGTGTATATGTGTGTGTGTGTGTGTGTGTGTGTGTGTGTGTGTGTATTGTAGAATATGGTAAATTTGTACTGAACTGAAGGACAGTTAAAAATCACAGAGCTCCATATTGCTCATCTTCGGACCTGACTTAGGAAGGGGTACTCAGCTGTGTACATTCACATACTAAGCATGGCTCCTGCGGCTAACCAACAAAGCCACAGTTCTTCACAAAGTCAGTCAGTTTAATTACCATCAAAGGGAAGTGCACAGTGAGTCTAAAGAGATAATATAAGAAAGTGGGCATTTTCCCCCAAAGCAAGTTGAGAACTATTTAAATCCTTCCCTTTTAACGTAGCATATGATACATCTACTGCCTCTTTCTCTAACTTGTTTATAATCAAAGAGTGCAATTCTAAAGGTTTGGCTCCATGTGTCCTTTTCCATTCGCACATTCTGTATTACATTCAGTCCTTCTAATTCCACATATAACCTCCCTCCGCGAGTATTTCCCTAGGCTGGCCTCAGATAACCTTATTGCTGACTCAGACGTCTTTATGCATCACTGTGTATTTTAAAAGTACAACTCTCATGGTTGCAAGACCTCTAATCCTCCAATGAAAAAGAATGACAAAGTAACAGCTCACAGGATTAACATCTTTAAATTAAAAATAAAAGTCCCAATGATTTTCTGACTGTTGTAGCTGAAAGTCATGTACACCATATTGCCCAGAGTCCTGTGAGAATTCTTCGGGAAGAAAAGCTTACTAGCTGTCTAATCCTTCCTGTGTTTTTAAAGTGTGCAGTTAAGACTGATCTGTGAAAGAGGCAAGGATTAGGTATCGTTTGTAGGCACTGCAACCCAGCAGGTACCGTGGGGTATTTGGCGACTGTAGCAAAAAAATAATACTCAACATGAAATCCTCAGTTAGTTACATTGGGAAGACACAATTTCACGTAGATCATAAAGTGGTCATCAGAGCCTCCAAAGAGCCATGTGTTAACCGAAATTGAAACTGACCCTTCATGGACAGAAAGTTTGAGAAGAGGCACAAAGACAGGGTTGGCTGATCGGACAGCAAATGTGGACTCCACAAGGTGTCCAACCTGGAGGCCATGGGCCATGGGACACATGCACCTCAAGATAGCTATGACTGTAGCCCCACAGAAAATCATAAATTGCAAATATCTTGAGATTTTAAAATATGAATGTATTATGTGGTCCCCAAGAGAAAAGTATGTCAGTGACAACTCCGTGCTGTGATGTTAGAAGATTTGACACACCTCCAAGACCACGGGGAAATTGCTGAAGGATGGATGATAGGCTTCACAACAGCAGGATCTTCTTAAACAAGGATGAGAAAGTTGAAGTGGTACCACCGACTTTGTCAGTCAACTACTTAATCCTTTGGTTGGCTCTTGGATGCTCAATCACAACGCCGGGTACATTAATGGATCGCCCTTCAGCCTGAAGAGTGGAATCTATGAAGCAGAGATAGTAAGATTATTTATATTTTAGCATTATTGTGAGGGATTAAATGAGACTATTAGCTACAATTTGATTTATCAGTTTGGCAGCTCCACTGAGAAGTAGGTGCTTGAGGGATCTGCTGCCAACAATCTCACTTTGGAAAGCAATGCTATTGATAAAAGCAAGCACTTTTGTATCAACATTTGTGAGCAATTGGGACCCTGCCACACTGCCTCCACACTCTGATAAGGGGAATGCTGCCCTGTTGACCCATTTTGTTCTTCACAGAGCCCTGTGTATACACTCCTTAGTTTGATATGCACATAGTTTCAGCAAGTCCTTCAGAATGGTGTCAGGGCACTCCCTTAAGTATGTGTGTGTCTGCACACGCGTTTGGTGGGGGGACGGGGATTGAATAGAAATACAGACAGAGCTATGCCAAATATGTGAGGCTTCCAGGTTTTTCGCCCTATTCTGCTTTATTTGTGGAAGCGTAGAGTTTTCTTATAGTCTCCATTATCAGCCACACATCTTGAATATCATTCACTGCACCCATGAATCATTTCTGGTATCATTTACGCTAGGATTTGACTTCAGCTGTGTGTGCACACCTGGCCCCTCTGGTGTTGATGAGGGCTGTGCTAATAATAACCACTTGAAATATCACATTTAGAGTATGGACTTCTGAATGATTGCTTTCAAATGTGAACCAATTACTCTGTGAAGTGGTTTCCTAATTTCTGTTTTCCAACTAAAATACCTAGCCTATGAAGACATTTTTAAAAACGTGTTTTACATGCTACTGTTTTCAAAACAGAACGAACAATGTGAGGCACACAATGGTTACCGGGTAAATATTATGTAAATGAATGGGCTTGGTGAATGAATCAACTTTATCTCTTTTAAGGCATAGATTAAGTTGAACACAACGTATTTATATGCATGTGGATACTGACATTCTCTAGAGTAAATTACAGATAGTAGAAAACAGGAAGTACCTGACAGGCTGCATGTTTTTCTCTCTCTTTTATCTAATATAAACTCATTAAACTTACTCTCAGCAAGTCTAGCAAAGGTCTAAACAAATCAGATGGCAGCGATTTTAGATTAGATTCAATAGATGATTTTACACATTCATTTTTTTTCCATGAATAAATTGGAGATGATCTCTCCATTCTATGCACTTTATGGAACCATTGGGGCATCCAAAATGCAGTGAACATAACGAGAATATATGAAATACTATAATAGTAGACAATGTTTGCAAAGTGCGAGCCACTCCGAGCTCCCATCGAAACATCCTGTTAACTTTGAAAATGTTGAGTCCTGGGATTTACTCTATGATTTGCTTATTCAGAGCTGAACAAATGGACGTTCACATTTTATCAAAATTTCCAGATGAATCTTTGTTACTCTTTTTAAACATTTGGGGTTTTTTTTGCTGTTATTGTTGTTGCTTAGGTTTTAATTTTATTATTATCTGCAGATTCTTTACCAACACAATTAACATGTTGCCTAAGAGATCAGGAAAAGAATGGTCATGGTGTGATAAGGGTTTGCTAAAGTGAACCCCAACAATTACTGGACAAGAACTCCCCCAAGAAGTTGAAGGGCATTGGCTTTCTGCTCACTGCTGAGCTCAGACACCTAATTTATTGACTAGTCTGTTAGCAATTCCTATGGCATGGCTTTGGAATGAATGATGTGGTTGAAGGTGATGGTGTCTTTTGAACTCTTTGGGACGTGCAGCACAGAGGAAGTGACCCTTCCTCCTTGAGACAACAGGGGCAGGTCAAGCCATGAATTTTTTTCTGTGTCTTGCCAAAAGGAAGAGGATTTCCTTCCTGTGCTCTCTTCCCCTCCCATTCAGTGTCCACAAGAAGGCACATAAACATATACATTGTGTTTATACGTCAGACTCGGAGTTAGCGGCCACACTTCCTGCCCCATGAAACTGTCAGACCCTCTGCTTTTAAATGTCTCTCTGCTCCCAGCCTGCAGTTCATTCTCTGTCCCTAGAGAAAAGGAACGTGCCCAGGGGGTCTGATCTTACATTGTTAGCTTTTAGTTCTCGCCTTTCAACCCTTTCCCATAGTGGTTCATTAGAGGCAAAGGGGAGTTCTTGGTAAACCATATAAAGCATGAAGAGATACTTGGTGGCCTAACTACAATGCAAAAGTATTAGCTTCCCCTGTTGTGATCCCGGAATCTAGGCAACTCTTAGACTGGTTTAAAAAACACAGAGATCTTGATGAACAAGTATATTGTTACAATAATTCAGAATTCAGACCTTACTTTAACATATCTATATATACATACACACATATAATACATATTCATATATATTTATGTATGTGTGCATGTATGTACACACACACACACACACACACACACACAGTTGTCAACTTTTTTGTCAACTTCTAGTAGCACACAGCTGGACTGATCCTTGACCCCGGCCTTAGGTAGAGGATCACTATACTTCACTACCCAAATCGAAGCTGTGATGCAACCCTTCTGTCCTCTTAAAAATGTCTCCAACAGATATCATTGGGTCAGAAGGGAGAAGAGGATGATGAACAATGAAAGATAAATCAGAAGAATTATTTCATGTTAGTAAAAAATGTTTCCAAAGTGAAATAAGTTCTGGGCCCTGACGCTACTCTTGGACTGATAGTCATGGTTAACTAGCCTGCTACCCTCACTGTTTTCCTATTAGTTCAGATTCCCAGCATCTTTTCTTCTTTCCATGACTCTGTCTGGGCAAAGTGGAGCATCATTACGCTTCAAATGAAAGGAAAAGGTATACAGAACATCTTCAATTGAAGCTTTTTTTGTTGTTTGAATGTTAGATATTCCTAAGTTTTCTAGGAAGTAGGCAGACTTGGGCTGTGAAAGTCCGGCATAATTCACTGATTTTATTAATTCCTAGGTGTATCATCTCCTGGTGTCTCACCTTAAGTCAAAATGGCTTTAGGAGTTAGCCTTTATGCAAATTTTCATAAAATGTTCCCTTAAGAAAATGTACATTTAGAAATGTTATTGAGTATTTGGAAGCTCTAGGGAGGTCACTGAACTTCCTGTCTCTGTCAAACTCACTTGTTTCCTCCTTTTTGCCTTGTCCCATCTCCAATGTTCTCTGCTCTTCTCCAACACCAAGGCCTCATTAAGAGTTCAGCTAGCCATGGTTCCTACAACCGTGCGAGACTGTAGATGTTCAGAGCAGAAAAGAAAAGCTTAAGCATGATGCTGGGAGGCTTCCTTGGCTCTCCATCCCAACATTGGTTGTCACTATGATGTGTTTGCTTTTCCAGCATGAATACAAAGTGAGACAAAGAGTCATAACCAGAGAACTGGAGTTGCACTTATTGATAAGTGGAGGGGATAGGATTTGAACTTGTGCTTCTGATACTGAAACCTATTGTCTTTCTGGTCTTCCAATTATGCCCTGGCACAAGGCTGAGGATGAGGTCTGGGAGATTATTGAAACAGATTTTTGGAAGGTAAAAATCAGTGGATCACATTCTTGGCAGAGCCCAACACTATAGATCTGACTATGTAACCCAAGCTCTGAAAAAAAAAAAAGACATGTGAGACAGCTCTACCCCTCCGCATTTATGCTTCGTTTCAGATTACTGCTGCAATAAATGACCACAGGCGTACAGACTTAAAGAAACAAAAATATTTTATCTTATAGTTCTAGAGGTTAGATTTTCAATATCAACTTCATTGGGCTAAAATCAAGACACTAGCAAAAAAAAAGGGGGGGAGAAATTTTTACAACTCATGAAATAAAAAAGAATTACACAGAATCTAATATATAGTCATATTGAGAACAATTTCATTTTTACAACTTCCTTGTCAGTTTCCATTATAGACTACAAGCGTGTTTTTTAACATCTGTTACACATTGGCCACTGGGTTTGGTACTAAGGGAACAAAGATATGAAAGGATTAGCACTGTTTTCAAGGCTCTCATAAACTAGTACCAACAATCCGGCAACAAGGTTATAGACAAATGCACAAAACCCTTTGAAGAAAGCTGTGTATGGATGCCTGGTGCACAGGGCATATCAGCAATGTGGGTTTGCTCTGGCCACTGGCTGTCTGCAATACTTTCACATATTTGTCCTGCTTCTGTGATGATATAAGCATGAGAAAAACAAAGTCTTTGTCCTCCTATTGTTTCCTTTCTAACAGTATCGAACAAACTGACAACAGGTCACTCCTGGGTAAGACATAAATGATGATACTATGGAACCTTTCAGGGGTGGAGCAAAGGGAAGGTTGAGTGGTTGGGGGGGGTGTCTATGCTTTCAATCAGAATGATGCCTAGAACTTGACAAGATTTTATTGAGATAATTTTCCAGGTACTGTACTAAAGCATTTGAAGCCCATAACCTGTCCACAGGAGGCAGACACACATAAACAGAGCCATTCTCTGGGGCTACAAATTTCCATAAGTCATGTTCACCTTCCTGATGCACACAAGCTTCACAATAGTGCCGTCCACAATGATTCTCTTTCCTTCTTGTCTCTAGTAACATGTTTGTGTGCATTAACAATGCATTAGGTTTATGCCGTCTTTTGGCAGAAAACCACAAGTGTAGAGGTGTATGTAACACAGCCATTTATTATGGTACTGCACATTGGGAGTTCTCCTAGAGTGAACTGGATTCTCTCTTCATTGGGTCCCAAAGTTTAAATTGAGGTATCATCCAGTATACGATCTCCTCTGGGGACGGGAAGCATTTTTCAGTACAGAATTCAGTTACTTGCCAAGGTAGGATTGGAGCCCCATCCTGTTGCTGGCTACAGGCCACAGCTATGCTCCGTTCCTATACATTACTTCGGTTCCTTGCCAAGTGACTTCCTCTGAAGTCTGTTCCCATGCTCCAATGTTCTGCTTATATTCAGTGGGAAGAGATAATTAGAAGTCTGAACATAAGATGGTCGGAATTTTGGGAGCATCTTAGAATTCTCCTCATCACAATCACTCCCAAAA